CCACTGTGTGCCTGCAAGACAGCATGCAGCCATCTGCTGGACCCCACCACTGCTATCACCACCCCTTCCACCACATCCCAGATCCTCCACCGGTCCAACCCTTTCGGATGCTGCAACAAGCTAATTAGGAGATTCACTGTGCTAATTACACATGCACACAAGTGTTGCTGGAGAGTTCTATTTAAGGCTCAGCTCTGCTCATGATTTCCCCCTTGATTAAAGGCAAATGTAGCATGTAAAACTGTGCGATTGTCTTTTACACCCATATGATGTTGATTCGCAATGACACCCGACAGACAGCTGGAATGGCTGAGGGCCACCTGACTTCTGAGGGCTGTAAGAATGAGACACGCTCCAAGCCCCTCCAACCAAAGTGAGAAATGAGTTCTGCAGTGCACTGAGGGGATGGTAGACTGGAGATAACACCCACAATCCATACCATTCTGGTCTACTTTCTCTGTCAATCAAGAGACAAGCAACGAGATGACTACAAAGGCAACAACAAGCCTCCAGTATGGAACCCCCACCCAACACACCCAGCAGTTTCCTTTGATATCAAAGTCAGGTTTACTGCAGAGATTTTCAGAAGTTGCATGGAGCCCCAAAGGAGGAATAAAACGGGTATCAAATTTATCGTCAAGGAATTGAAATGACAGTGTTATTTTGAGTAACCTTCCCCTGAATCCTGCTCTATTATGTATTTAAAATACTCAAGGTGGACACAAAATTAGCATCTTGTATTAATAAACTTTGAGCTAAGCTGGACCAAACTTCCCAAAATAAGCTTCTAAAACAAACAAAAATCTAAATATACAGTATCTGTAAATGTATCTTGAAACTTGAGCCATAAATAAAAAGGATAAAACAGGTTTTTGTTAAATTACACACTAAAAGGTGTCTGTGTGATAGATGGTAATTAGTTTGAGTGGTTATAATTTAGCGAGTATGTGTTTTCACTAGTTTTACTTGGATTTAGCACTTTTCATTGTGTTACATTGTTGTTTTGCACAGTCCATCCCTAGATTCTAGTTTCCTTATAACTGGAAGAGGAATGCAGCTAGCTGTTATGCCTGGGTGCATTGGAGACCTGACTTCACTACTGTATCTTCACTACATCTGTATCAAAAAATGCTAAATTATGAGACTGTGGTCAGTTATTTGCAAGTGAATACACATTTCCACCCTCTTCAGTGTCAAAAATAGCCTAGTGATTCATATTTCCTGTTGTTAAACTTGGCATAGTTTGGCTGCTCTCCCTTTTAACCAGTTTGCCGTAAACCTTATAAAAACAGTTCTAATGTTAGTTGTCATGTATATGGAGATATAAATGTTTTGTTTCAGCATTATTTTCTTACATTATGATTCACTGTGGTAGCTAACCTGTAGGTTGCATTTTAACATAGAGTAAAAAGTGTTGTCGGATTTCTAGGTGGATTTTTTAACCATTAGTCAGAACCAGGTTACCTATGTCTCCTCTGCTTTCCAGTGTTTACTCTATGCTAGCCAACATCTGATTTAAATTGAGCACAAAAAAGTATAAGCATGTTTCCCCATATTACGGCTTCACACAGAAATCTATGAATCACAATAGAGGTATTCTAGCTGCACCGTGAGAGCAGTCAGGAGGATCCAGAGTGTCTTCTATGCACAGTAATTCTACAATCAAACTAGAGCCAAGTGTACAGTCACTTAAACACTTAAACACTGCAGCAGCAGCAGCTACCTGTGCCTTTCTGCCTAATTACTGGCACCAGAAAATGTCTTGAAGCCCACAGGGTCTCTAAATATGAATGGACTTCTCCCTCACATGGTAACAGTGAAGGCTTCTCCCTTTCTTTTTCTCTTCCTTATTATGCTTACAATAATAATTATTATTATTATTCTTATTATTTGATGACCTGATCATTTATAGATGTAGGAGAAAGTACATATAGTTACCCGAAACAATAATTAAAACCAGCTTGTGTATTCTTCTTTTTTTTTTTTTACAATAAATGTTTTAAATATGAAAACACAATGCTATAAAACAGTCAAGCAACTAGAGGATATGAGGAGGAGAAAAATAGTCCAGCTGCATAAAAGCATGGCCTAAGGCAGCTTTTAAATTCAAACTGCACGGTCCCTCATCATTAATAGAAGCAAGGTATCAGATAAGCCCAAACAATAACATGAGTAAACAGGAGTTCCTTTGGTAAGACTTATCCCTGATCCTCTGTTAGCTTCCAATTTCTCCATTCTTTTCTCCATACTTTATGCTTTCAGAATCCAATTCACTTCAAGGCATGACAGAAATGAGCCCGAGCTTCAGTCCGAGCAGATAGCAGACACAGAGCCTTTTCATTTCCAGGATGTAGCACTGACAGGTTTGTGGAGAATACGACCACACTCGAATCCCTGTTTTAATTGCTTTTCAACAGCGGTAACAAAGGAGTCATTTAGACCACACACAATAGCATTCTCAGCTGGCCTGCCCTAGTTATTTCAGAAAGAAACTTTTAATTCAAAGTGCTGTGTAGATTAATTTTCTGATATGTTAAACATTGTTCTGCATACTAATTGACACCATTTTTTTATTGTGCAAAGCAAGTCTTTTCAGGGAGGCATAATTAAAACGGTCGGTGAGGCTTTTATGGCCCACGTTAGAACAGAAATTAGTCAATTACCATTTCTATTTAAGGGGTGAAATGACCATCACTGTGCTTGGCTCGCTTTTATGTGTTCCACTTAATGGTGGACACCCACCCCCACCCCCTGCAAATATTTTGTATTCCAAGCCAAAAGACAGAGACGGGGACCAAATTACCAGTCCAATATATCTGTCTTCAAATATGAATTACTGAAAATCATTACTGTAAAAAGTGAATTTTAAAAGGAAATAAATTTTATAATCATTATAGAAATTTAGCAAGGACAGATATAGAATTCAAAAAGCTCTCTGTAAGTTGGGACTGTGATCGCAATGTTTTTTTTAAAAAAAAAAGATTTATTATACACAATAAAATGGAAAACTGGTGTCCCTGATGTTTTTGGTTCTGTCAGTGTTTTATGAGAGTAGATCTACTGTTTGTATGAGGTGGAGTGATGGCACCACCCTGTGGTTGTAAAGTAAATATAACATGTGAAGAAGGAAACACTGATGAGGAACAATATCATGAAGTCCACTGAAGCTGGACTGTAAAAATGTTTTGTGGATTCATATGAGAAGCAGAACAGTTGCAGCTGGTCAACACAGCCAAACAGAATCTGCAGATGGACAACTGAAGAACAAGTGTATGTTCACACAGCCTCATGTCCAACAGGCTCAGACGAAGCAGAATTAAACATTTAACAGCCAGTGGCCTCACAATGTGCAAAAAAGTGGAACTGTTGCATGCACATACAGAAACGGGCCTCAGTGGCTTACACCTATCCATCACAAAGCCCCTGCTAGCCACAGTCACATGGTGCAGCGGCTTCGTCACACTACAGTCAATTTTATTTGCATAGCATCACAACAAAAGTCATCTCAGGACACTTTACAAAGTAAGGCCTAGACCTTACTGTTATTATTATAGAGGGAAAACCCCAAAAATGCCCCTTGAGCAGCACTTGGCGACAGCAGGGAGGAAAAAGTGTAATGGTGGCACATAGCCATGGCCAGTATAACATGTATACTGTGTCAAGATGTGCATAAATGTAAAATAAATCATGACTATGAAGGTAGAGGTGACAATGATAACAAGCTCTGACAACAAAATTTGAAAAGGAAGCTGTTTGGACAACAGTGTGATTAGCATCCAAGGTTTGTCTAATCCTATTAGAATAATATAACAATCACATTACACTGTATATAAGGTTATGCAGTAGCAGTACAATAAAGAGATGAATGAATTTTCTGTGGGTGGCATAGAGACACGGGGGTTAGCACTGTTCTCCCTGTGCCTACGTGAGATCTCTGGGTGCTCCGGCTTCCTCCCACAGTCCAAAGACATGCAGCTTAGGTTGATTGGTGACTCTAAGTTGCCCGTAGAAGTGAGTGTGAGAGAGTGTGGTTGTCTGTCTCTAAGTGTCAGCCCTGTGATAGACTGTGATAGACCCCCCACAATAGAAATTTGCTGCCCTTCTGCCTTTTAGCCACTAGGTGTCAGAGTTTTAACTAAGTGAGCATGGAAATGTACCAGTGCAAATGAGATAAGCCATAAAAGAACAGATGTGTACAAATATGCATTTTCATTACTCTTTTGTATTGTGCTGAATAATTACATTTTTTCATAATTGTGGGATAGAATGCACTATAGAGTGGAAACACTGTTCTGGTTCTTTTTATTTCACCACTCTTTCTGCCAGCAAACAGCAACTAGTACCAAACATTGGTCTTTTTTCTGATAATTTGACATTTGGCAACGCCTTTCAGTGAGTACTGATATTGCTTCCTTCAAAGGTTTTTGTAGCTGTGTAAAAAGTAACTGAATATCTAGTTTGGAAATATATATTGTTGAATTTTTAGCACCTGAATTTTTATCTGAAATTCATTGGTCCAGTTTGAGAATTTTTTTACTTAATTTTGTGATTTCAAAAATTATCTGATGAGATAACCTGAGATTACAGTTCAATAATCATGATACTCGGCGCAAACGTCCTGATGATCTGTTGAATAGGAACATGATGAAATTTACAAAGCCTCTGAGAACTAACTGTTCTGTTTACAGTGTAAGAATCATGTTTATTAACAGCAGGGGGCGCACTACGTCTTCATACTACCACAGACACAACTGAATCCAAGTACATTTCTCTCTCTCTCTCTCTGTATCTGCCACAGCATTAATGTTCCTGTATCATATTCTATAAACTGTTCCGTGTTCCACATTTCACACGTGTTGATGAAAGGCTAGTGAACTTTTACAGCCCCTCCTTTGTTGATTAAGCTCCGTGACTGACTCGGACATTTCCCCATCACGTTCGGATCACGTTTCGTTGTGGCCAATCAGAGACGGCGGAGATATTTAGCAACGCTATAAATCAAACGTGGAGGCAGAGAGAAAGTTAGTGATGAGCGTTTACAGCAACCTGGATACCGGCAACAAATCTAGAGACTCGTTTCCTCTTTTGATATTTTTCTACACGTAACATAAGGTAAGGGATTTGGGACCTTCATTTATCTTCAGCTGCTGGATTTATTTTTCTATTCGTCCACCAGCTCCTGAAACTTCCATTTTGTTTAAACCGGTTGTGTCAACGTTTCCATATTGTATTTCCTCTAATATACATATGTTTGCAGCGACTTGTTACTATGTGTTCATTTGTTCCTACTGTTCTTTCCTCATTTCCTGCCTGACTCACTGATGCTGTGGTATTATCAGTCACGTTTACTTTATCCTGTCTTGTCTTGTCTCAGCCTCTTGAGATTTTTTGTGGCTATACCATCTTCCATGTGCTGTCATATGTACTGTAGTTGCTCCTCTGTGTAAAGCTCATCACATGTCCTCTGCTCTCTGTAGGTCATAGGGTCAAGAAAATGGCCACCTCAGCAAGTTCCAAACTCAGCAAAACTGTTAAGGAGCAGTATATGGCTCTCCCTCAGGGAAACAAAGTCCAAGCCATGTACATTTGGATCGATGGGACTGGAGAAGGACTACGCTGCAAGACCAGAACTTTGGATTCTGAACCCAAGACAATCAAGGGTAAATATGTTTCCAGTATGATCACTGTCTACTGTATATTCATAACAGTATGCAGCAAAATGACAGCAGGATATATTTTTTAAATCATTTTGAAGCAGATCGTTGATCTCGGTTATTTTCTTGCCAGATGTTCCTGAGTGGAACTTCGATGGCTCTAGCACTTACCAGGCAGAGGGCTCCAACAGCGACATGTACCTGATCCCTGCAGCCATGTTTAGGGACCCTTTCAGGAAGGACCCTAACAAGCTTGTGCTCTGTGAAGTGCTCAAATACAACGGCAAGCCAGCGAGTAAGCATAGAAAAACAAACCTGGATGTGACTGGTGTTAAAGCTGTTATGTACGTCAGCTAATCTCTGAGGCTGTTCCAACAGACACCAACTTGCGTCACACCTGTAAAAAGATCATGAGCATGGTGCAGGATCACCACCCGTGGTTTGGTATGGAACAGGAGTACACTCTCCTGGGCATGGATGGACGTCCCTTTGGCTGGCCCACCAACGGTTTCCCAGGTCCACAAGGTAAATACAGGTTGAAATACATATGTTACAAATACAAAATGCCAGCTGAGTGATAATATTTACTTTCTGTCCACCTGCCTAGGACCTTATTACTGTGGAGTGGGTGCAGACAAGGCTTATGGACGAGATATAGTAGAGTCCCATTACAGAGCCTGTCTGTATGCTGGGATCCAGATCTGTGGCACCAATGCTGAAGTCATGCCAGCTCAGGTATTGCCCTGCCTGCCTTGGCAAAATGCATTTTCTGTTGTCTAATCGTATAATAACAATGAATAATTCTGTGTTTCAGTGGGAGTTCCAGGTGGGGAATTGTGAAGGTATCAACATGGGGGACCACCTGTGGGTTGCTCGCTTCATCCTTCACAGAGTCTGTGAGGATTTTGGTTTGGTGGTGTCCTTTGACCCCAAACCTATCTCAGGCAACTGGAATGGTGCTGGCTGCCACACCAACTTCAGCACAAAGGAGATGCGAGAGGATGGTGGACTGAAGTAAGGATGAGTTTTCATCATATCGGTGCATTAAATAATGATGCACTTGAGGTTTGAGCATGTTTCTAAGCCTCTTTGTTTTTCACAGGGTCATTGAAGAGTCAATTGAAAGGTTGGCTAAGAGACACAAATATCACATCCGGGCTTACGATCCCAAAGGCGGGTTGGACAACGCCAGACGCCTCACCGGTCATCATGAAACCTCAAACATTGATGAGTTCTCAGCTGGTGTGGCCAATCGTGGTGCCAGCATCCGCATCCCTCGCATAGTGGGGCAGGAAAAGAAGGGCTACTTTGAGGACCGCCGTCCATCCGCCAACTGTAACCCTTACATTGTCACAGAGGCTCTGGTGCGCACATGTTTACTCAAAGAAGAGGGAGACGAGCCTGCTGATTACAGCAGCAAATCAACAGCCTAAGACAATGTGGCATTGCCATTACTGCCTTTAGTTTAGTTTGTTTCAAGACTGTATAAATTTATCTTTATACCTTTGTGACTTTTTTTACTTGACATATGAATTAATAGAGGTATCCTAGCAATCCTTGTATATTTGTATGTAGTAAGTCTTTAACCCAGACACAAACACTCACTGTTATATGTTTTAACTTGCACAAATGAAAATTGTCTGTGCAGCAGCTTTTTGCTCTGTATCGTGTAGCTCTGACCCAAAGGATCCCAAAGGCATTAGAATGTTTTTAGTGATCTTAGCCTCTGTTCAGATAGTTGTGAATAGAGAAGATCACTATATAGGCCAGTTTACTTTCATGGGGGGGTTATAATGTATGTCTGTTGTCTCTTTTTTCACTTGTAATTGTCACTAAAAACTAATAAATACTTTTGCATATAACTTGTTTGTTTAGTCTAAAATGCCTTGTTTTGCCTGTTGTTACATTCTGACAGAACCAGTTTTTCACATAAAAGCTATAAGCAAACAATCTCATGATCAGTTTTAAGGGAGAACACACTGTAATGTTAAACACATGGGGGTTAATTATGGTCAGGAAAATCTACTTCAGACATCTGAAAAGATCAAATTGCAGTCACTACTAAATCGACATGATGTAAACATGTTGACGTCAGACCTACTGTATAAAGGGTTTCAACAGAGTTATCACTTCCAGCAAAGGCTGTGACAACATGCCTGTGAGAACACTGACTTGGCCGGCTCCTACAGCGTGTGCAGCTGCCTTCCTGGTATGCTGTTTTGGTAGAAGCTTTGCTAACCTATGACCTAGTTCTGAAAGCAGGACAGTAAAGGGGGACACAGAAGAGGAACACGGTGTACTCATTGCTTTGCATTAGCTGCTCAAACAAGTTTATGTAACCAATACAACTTTATTTTTAGATAATTGTCTGATAATGAAGTATTTTTAACGTATTAAATCTTAATACTAAGTTGTTTTTTTTACCTTGATTTGATTTTGATTTATTCTTTCAAGCATGTAAAGACAGTTGATATGTCAACACACATAATTTTACACATATCCAACAAATGCTAATCCAATATCAATTTGCTTATACCTAGTACATGCTTGAATGGAGTAGGAAGAAGTCAGACTTATCCAGTCCTACCCCATGACATCATCTTACATCATTGGTTTGCAAGCAGTATCTCTACAAAATAATTCTCT